CTTAAAATATCGCCTAACGGGCTTAGTTTTAAATTAAAAGGTAAATTAATCTAGAAATAATCAATAATCAGCTGATTCCTTATTTGAATTACGAAGAACATCAGAAGCTAAATACTTTTATTTGGCCACACAAGAATTGGGATTGGGTGAGAATGCATATTTACAGAGTTAACTGTCAAATTTATGACAATTTTCTTATTTGAGTGCGAAATTATTTATTATTATTATTTTTTAATCAATAAGTGCAATGAATAATAATATAAACACAGGGTTCTACAGTTTATGATCTGATCAATTAAGAATCGTTGGAGTTTTTATGGAAGCAAAATTTCACGATACTTGATTAACGATCAGTTAGTTTCCTACTGAGGCTAACACAGAATAAAATTCGAATATATGAAAGTGGTATAATTATAAACCAAGAATCCTTCTTAATGTTCAAAATTATCAAGCACTTGTGACACATCAAATCATAATCATCAGAGAAAACATTAATTCTTTTAACATTTTAAACTTAAAATTAATTTAAAATTTAAACTCCCACCTAGAGTGACTTTTCAAAATCAAAATTTTATTTTAAGAGCCTGATGATGGATCAACTGCTCAGATTTTCGAATAATTTATGTGTATCTTTGCAAAAATAAATTGCTCTTCAAAAATATTTTTTCTTAATAAAAATAAATTTGACCTAAATTGGGATTAAAGCGATGTATATTTAGCGAAATATAATATTATTAATAATAGATATTTTATAATGTATTTATAAGTTTAAATCTATCATTAGGAAAGGTTATGTTTGATCCAAAAATACAGATCATTCTTAATGGAAGTACATAAGAAACACACAATGATTATTCTAATGACCTTCACAAATTCAAAAAATTATCATGATGTTAATTTGTTTTAAATTCCATAATATAATTAAAATGACTTTACATTTTTTGAATAAGTGGAATATTATGTAAATTTCATAATTGATTTAAATTAAAGATTAAGGGCAAATACAATATATTTCTTCATATGCCATTTGTTGTTTTAAAACTTGAGAGGATTATAACAAACTAAAATTTATTTAAATATATATCCAAATAATATATACTCTCATTATTCTGCATATTTCCTGATTTAAATTTAATTTGATTGAGAATCCCAAGTAATCAAATACTCTCCATCATCACTCATCTACCCAAAAATATAATATGAATCAAATTGAATAGATTACTCAACTATAAATTGGTCAACTTCTGTTTTTCTGATTAAATTTATGCTATTACCATGTTTACTAACTAATAATTATTTTTATTTCAGAAATTATTATGGAAATAACTCACCAAAATCACTATCACTTTCATTTACATTAATATCTTTAGATTTAACGAACTATTTACTTATATTATTCAATTAGTAGACGTGCATCAAATTGCCTATTATAGGTTAAAATGTGAATTAATTATTGTTGATAAAGCATATTCGACATCCTAAATCTTCAACTATAATATTTTAAATCAAAATCCACTTTTTATCTGATTCAAAGTACTCAATTACTAATATTAACTTATCCTCTCCACAAGAAATAACTTTATTTTCTTTATCATTTAAACTTAATTAATTAACCTAAAGTTTATGATCTGTGATAGTTTGTTACCAGATCCAATCATTTTGTTTAACCCAAAATTTGATAGTATTATCATAACTACTGGTTATAAAAAGATCTTCATTATTATTCATAATTAGGCATCGAATTGAACCAATATGTGCTTAAATGGTTTAAGAGCAATACCATTTTTTATTAATTGACCAAATTAAAATAGATCCACCTGAATCTCCTGATATAAACTAATTGGATTTTTTCATGAAAGATAATGTAAGCACATCTTTTTGATGTTGATATAATACGTGAATTTATTTTAAGATTGCTTACTTGAATTCATATATTTTTATTTATTTATCACAACTAAGTGCTACACATGAACAATCTTTATTATAAGCTATTGCACAGCACCATTCATTTTAATAAATAGAATTATCTTTAATGATTTGATAATTAAATGGCTTAAATTAAGATGGACATTGAATTGATTATGATTATGGAAATGATGATTATTACAATTGTTAATCTGATTACTGTTTTAAATTAAATTATTATTTGATTTTTGAAATGATTAATGGTTTCACTTCCTAAACAATGTTTGATTTAAAATTTGTTTAGTCAATTAAATTGAATTAAGGAACTTTTAGTAAATATAATTCTTATTTGGACAGCTTAGTTTAGAGATTGGAGAATCCATAATGAATACTTAATCAATCAAATTATTGATTCTATCAAAAGATTACTAAAAGCAGTATAATAATCAATAAATACATCTAATTGTTTCTCTATTACTTTGAAATCATATTCTAACTATCTACTGAACATTTCTTTTGACATTTTCCTTTAATTTTAATAAATTATTCAATTATGACCTTTTATTATTTGTGTTTAAAAAAAAAGGAAGGAAATGGAATTTTTTTGAAGCAATAGTAGAATTAATTTGTTCGAGTAAAATGATTTATGATAGTGGGTATAAATATATTTTAAAGACTAAAAATAGAATATAGTGAGATTATCAAAAACGAAGTTTTAAATTGGAAATGCCAATTCTATTCTAATTTAGTTTATGTATGACTTCTCTTAGAGTCTATAACTAATCAATACTAAGACTAGGATTACTTTGATAAGAATATTATGTTATATTAGAAAATGTGAAATAATAAATCAATATTATTAGAGGTTTGATTTGGAAATGGAAGGAATAAATATATTTAAAAAATGAAATATATGATAATGTCTCTGTTTCCATTTTGAATAACTGGAATTTTGCCTGTTGTTTGCATAATATCTTGATATAGAGATATTTTCTGGTAGATCATTTTCATTTTCTACAACTTTATTGTC